TTTAAATGTTTATAGAGGGTTGAAAATTGTTATAAAATAAAATCAAATAATTCAGGTTACAAACATTATATATATATATATATATAGTATATAATATTAGAATTATGTTCAGTAAACAATCCTATTATAAATGCACATAGGCAAAAGTAAGTAATAATTACCACGCAGGCATTCAGGCACTCGCACGTTTGGCATCCGTTGTCATCAGGGACGTATCCGTAGCGACAGGCCGTAGAACATCTAAGAGATGGACAGGTTCCTGTATCCTGAGCTTTAATTATTTGTCGGTTTTAAAACTTTCGATGAAGATATTCATGTACGTGGCAAATCGAAAACAATGAGAAACATAATGTAACAAAACTCATAATCACTATCAGTTTTAACAAAATCAACAGCAGATCATTCCCACAAACGCCGACACACTCACCACTGCTGGTGGCCACCAACAGAACGAGAGTCACAGTCGCCACTGCCAACAAATCTTCCGATCATAATCTCAAGAACAGGCCTAGTTAACTGATAAATTAATTGAGAAAGAAATACCTGGTAGCTTTACTAGTAACGAAAACTGTTTGAGAAACAGCGTGCAAATCCCTACGTATTTATACACGTTTTGTTGATTCAGTTGAAGCTAATGTCACCTTAGACATGCAAGAATTGAAATATACGCATTTAGATTTAAAATTGTTAAAAATTATTCAAACAAAAATGTTTACTGTCAGCGATAACAAAACGAGAAATGTTATAGCAATGGGCTGAACCATTTTGAAAATTTTTTAAACTTCGATACAATGGTAGTGATTGTGTGTGTTGGAGTCTTAATGTCTGACGTTTATTTTAAAATAAATTTTTCGGGTTATCCCCTCAACATTTTAAAAGAACCCAACAAACAACGTTCAATCAATCAATCAATCAATCAATCAATCAATCAATCAATCAATCAATCAATCAATCAATCAATCAATCAATCAATCAATCAATCAATCAATCAATCAATCAATCAATCAATCAATCAATCAATCAATCAATCAACCAACCAACCAACCAACCAATCAATCAATCAATCAATCAATCAATCAATCAATCAATCAACCAATCAACCAACCAACCAATCAATCAATCAATCAATCAATCAATCAATCAATCAATCAATCAATCAATCAATCAACCAACCAACCAACCAACCAATCAATCAATCAATCAATCAATCAATCAATCAATCAATCAATCAATCAATGTTTTAATCAATCAACCAATTAAAGTAAAGTAAATCAAGCCATTCTCATTTTAAATGAAAGCGCAAGGGATTGTGACTACTGATTGGATGATTTGATTGATAGATTGTTAAATTAACTCTGGATTGGTTGGCTGGCTGGTTGGCTGATTGGTTGGTTGGTTGATAGATTGATTTCTCAGCCAAACAATTTGTTGATCCACATTCTACCAATTTATAAAAATAATTTCGAACTAAATTTGAATGATAAAACTTGAGGGATATTTTTGTCATAAAAAAGAATTTTTTATTATACTGACGTATATCGTAATCTTATTGAAGAAGAAATGACTGAATAGAATCAAAGTATTGTCTCTGGACCTCAAACTTGATGTTTGTTTGTTTGACTACACACACACACACACCCACACACACATACACACACACACACACACACACAAAACACACCCACGCACGCACACACACACGCACACACACACACACGTGTAATACGTATATACTTGTTATTCACTTATTTTGCCCAATTTAATGCCTTCTCTTAAGAAATATTTTTTATTTAGAGAAAAAAAGACAAGGTAATTAAAAAAGTTACTCAGCATTTTATCGACTGTTATGAATTTCATCTGCTCTAATATAATTTGTTTAAAAGTTTTTTAAAATTTGATTGACATTTGAGAGGTTTTATTTTGTCATAGATGGATGATAAATACATACCTAACGATATAGAATTATTGGTGGAATGCTAAATTTGGGTAGATCCCAACATGTGAAAAGTCGGAAGGATTGTATAGACGAGTTGGTTGGAATGTAAGCAGCTGTTTATATAGTACAAGTGGCTCTCGTAGTATCTGCGAAGTCATTTGATTTCATATTAACTTCTTTAGGGATTACTTTTTCTTGATAACATTTTAAAATTATTTATTCTAAAACTTTCAATTAATTAAAAACGCTTTTACAACAAAAGAGAAATCATTTTTTAATTTAGAACTAATTAATTAATTAATCAATCAATTAGAACAACTGATTAAATAAGACACAAAATATTTTCTGAGTGGATGAAAAATTCTTCAAAGTTTAAAATGGCACACGGACCATTCATATCGAAAGCTGACGTCGAGTGATTGCGTGTTATATAAGGACTCTTTAAGACTCGAGACATACATGGCTTTTGTATTTTATACAAAACTTTGTATCTCAAACATCGGGCATTTTAATTTATACAAAACTTCGTATCTCAAACATTGGGCTTTTGTATTTTATACAAAACTTTGTATCTCAAACATCGGGCATTTGTAATTTATACAAAACTTCGTATCTCAAACATTGGGCTTTTGTATTTTATACCAAACTTTGTATCTCAAACATCGGGCACTTGTATTTTATACAAAACTTCGTATCTCAAACATTGGGCTTTTGTATCTCAAACAAAACTTTGTATCGCAAACAAAGAAAGGCCTTTTGTATATTATACAAAAGGCCTTTTGTATAGTATACAAAACTTTGTATACAATTCGAGTTATTTATCATCTACTTCATTCGTTTCAATCGGTCTGACGGGGTCTTATGATTTATCACCATAGAGTGTTTTCTTTATGCTATATTCATTCATTCATTCATTCGTTCATCCATTCATTCTTTCATTCGATTTTTATTACTCTTTCAAATATAACTTATGTCTAAAGCAAACAAGATTTCAAACAACAATAATATCACGTTTAGTTTTCTCTATGCTACAATATCTCATTTCAATGTTCAATCATTTAGATGTACGTAATAAAATATTTGAACGAATTTTAATTTAACAGATTAAACAAATTTTGAAAAATAAGAACAAAAACAAACTCAAATAGTACTAATTCATTTCTTCATCAGCGAGAATAATTACAAAAATGAATTCCTACGAATAACGAAAATATTCATTTGAAATGAAATTTTATGTAAATTAAAAAAATTCGTCATATTAACAAAATGAAGCCAACAAGTATATAATATTCTCACTTTAAAACCATAATAAATAACTAATAATAATATTACAATTATTATAGCAATTAGTCATTATTATTGTCATAATTAATTATAAATATATTACTATGAATATTATATTTAGGAGACGGGTACCACCAAATCAAACGATCCGGTTCCTGTTTTGATGGGTTTTCCTAGGATGAGACAGGCGGATGGTGACTCAGCGTTCTCGTGCGATCCTGATTTAATTGGATGTAATTAATTAGAGTTAATTGGATTAATTAAATCAATTAAATTAGTTCGTTCAAGAATAATTAATTATATTAAATCGGATTAAGAATAAAACTTTGAATCAATTTAACTTTGCCTTCCTCCAGTGGCCAATAAAACACACATCAAACTGAACCCAGCCAACTAAATAAAAAACAAATGTACCCATTCGTCATTCGTTCATTCATTCATCTAGTCATCCATGCATCAATTCATTCATCTAGTCATCCATGCATCAATTCATTCATCTAGTCATCCAGCAATCAATTCATTCATCTAGTCATCCATCCATCAATTCATTCATCTAGTCATCCATGTATCAATTCATTCATCTAGTCATCCATCCATCAATTCATTCAATAATTCACCCAACTGACCATCAACTATGGATTTTTTGAGATAATTAAGAGCCGACTCGAAGGACATCTTCTGGAGTGTGGACGCATTTGAATCCAGTCCCAACCGGTTGAATGGTCTGAAGGAGCCCTCGTACGTCATGTAGTCGGCGATTAGCGACAGGTGGCGGTAGTCAACGTCGATGCCGTACGCCTTGAACACTTGTCGGATTTCCTGATAGGGGTAGAATTTTTTTTATTTGCGTTGTTTATTTGGTTGTTTGTGTCTGTTTGGCGGTTTGTATGTATGTTTGTCTGTCTGTCTTTTGTATGTTTGCTGCTGTCGAAACGAACAAGATGATGATCTAAATAAACACACACTCCCATTAACAACACAGAAACCAAGCCAAGCAAACAATATGCATGTCAATGCTTACATGATCAAATCAACTTAGATGGATGGGTTAATATGGGCACGAAAAATAAACATCAAAACACACACTCGCACGCACGCACACCCACCCACACACACACACACACACACACACACACACACACACACACACACACACACACAAACCTCGATGATAACTTGAGAAGCAGCTTCAATACCGTAATTTAGCGCAATCGCCTGAATGTTGTTGCAGTACAACTCGTCAACACACAACCTGTCTTGATATTTGTACATCTCCTGCAAAGTGCATGAAGTAAATGTGTGTACGTACATGATTGTATGCGTAATGTGCACAATTCAATAAGGCATAATTTGATTGATTGATTGATTCAACAGCACATCATTTATACAATATCAATGGAAAAACAAATGACTGACTGAATGGATGAACGAATGAATGAATAAGTAAACCGATCATCATTTAATTAGACAAGCAAAGAAAGAAACAAACGAACAAACAAACGAACAAACAAACGAACAAACACAACATTTATATAGCGCCTAATCGCACAAACTCCAATTTCTCTAACGTGTATACACACACACCCAAGTATATATAACCCAAGTGGAACATAAATAACTCAAGAACCACCCAAAAAACCGGACCAACCTGAATGTTGAGACCCTCTACTTGTAACTTCTTCCTCCTCCCACAGAGAAGACCACGTGACGTCATCCTTTCAAGTTCGTTGAGGGCACTTTCAAACATGTAGGCCGGCGAGTCGTTTATATCTATCTCCTTCATTATGCAGTTGCTTATATTGGCAACCTGTGTGTGTGTTTGTTTGTACGTGTGTGTGTGTACATGTGTTTGTACGTGTGTGTGTTTGTACGTGTGTGTATGTGTTTGTACGTGTGTGTGTGTGTTTGTACGTGTGTGTGTGTGTGTGTTTGTACGTGTGTGTGTGTGTGTGTTTGTACGTGTGTGTGTGTGTGTTTGTACGTGTGTGTATGTGTTTGTACGTGTGTGTGTGTGTATGTGTTTGTACGTGTGTGTGTTTGTACGTGTGTGTGTGTGTGTGTGTACGTGTGTTTGTACGTGTGTGTATGTGTTTGTACGTGTGTGTGTGTTTGTACGTGTGTGTGCGTGTGTTTGTACGTGTGTGTGTGTTTGTACGTGTGTGTATGTGTTTGTACGTGTGTGTGTGTTTGTTTGTACGTGTGCGTGCACGCGTTGGCTTACTGATTGATTGAATGATTGGAAAGTAGATTGGTTGATTGACTGGAAAGTTAATCTATTAGACGAATAAAAAAATTAATAAATAAATGGTTGAATGGATGAAGCGATGGTGTAAATTACTGAATAAATATGGAAAAAATAAAACAATTAATAATAAAATAAAATAATTATTAGAGGAATAATTTTATTTCAAAATCAAAATAAAATAACTATTAGAGGAATAATTTTATTTCAATATCAAAATAAAATAATTAGTAGAGAAATAATTTTATTTCAAAATCTACTACCTGATTGATGACAGTCCGTTTGATCTCGCTGTCAACCAGCCACTGAATGTCCATTTCTTTTTTGGCAAGTTCAAACTGGAGTCGTTTATTGGTTGATATTTATTTATAAATATTTTTAAATTTTTATAAAATGATAATAATATCTTTTCTATCTACTCAATCATTCATTCTGTCATCAATTGCTTTGTATCTAAATATCAATTTAGGTGTGTTCATTCACTCATTCATTCATTTATTCATTCATTTGTCCACATTGATTCAATCATTCACTTAATTAAATAATCAATCATTCATTCAATCGCCAATTCACTCATCCCCTCAATCGATAATTCATCTCCTTCATTCATTCATTCGTTCTTCAATCAATCAGACATTCATTCACTCATTCACCTACTTATCTATTCAATCATTCATTCAATAACTTCAATCTTCAATCAATCAGACATTTATTTATTTAATCATTCATTCAGTCATTCGTGTCTTCAACCATTCACTCCTCAATTTCATCACTCACTAACTCATTCCTTCACTCATTTCTTCACTCACTCACTCACTCACTCACTCACTCACTCACTCACTCACTCATTCCTTCACTCATTCATTCCTTCACTCATCATTCATTCCTTAAATGACCTTGAACGTAACCTCTCCCCACATGTTATCCTGCACGTCATATACGTAATCTATCACGTGAGATTTCGAGCAGACAGCCTGGCGAGAATTAATTATAAATTAATTAATTAATTATTATAATTTCCATTATAGTTAAATAATTTATCATAATTATAATTAATTATTTAATTAATAGTGACGGGGTAAAATTGATCTAAACTATTTCTTTCGGTTTACTACTACTACTAATACAACGTAAATTTTAAGAAACTGAACCTATGTGCTATTCTTAATGAATAGTAAATATTGATAAGAATAATCACAAAAATAACCTCGTATCATCATCATAATCACCATCGTCATCATTATCAATATATTACTGCTATCATCATCATCGTCACCATCACCATCATCGTCACCATCATCAGCATCGTCGTCATCATCATCATCATCTTCATCATCACTCACCTCGACTCTCTCTCTATCAACATCCATCTTTATAATTTTCCTCTTCGCCATTCTTTCATCATTCTCATCATCATCGATCTCCTCCTCCAGGATTATCTCCTTCTGTCCATCGCCATTAACCACCTTTCGTCTTTTCGTCTTCTTTTTTTCCGTCATTTCATCATCATTATCACCACCCTCATCATTGTTATTATTATTCTTATTATTATTATCGTCGTCGTCATCATCATCATCATCGTCTTCGTTGTTTTTACTTCTATTTTTAGTTGGTTTCTTTTTTTTTGAGTTTTCATCGGCTTTGGATTTGAAAAAAAATAATCGATCAGAAATATTTAAGAAAATTTTTATTCTACGTTCAAAACAATAATAATATTATTATTCTTATTGTTATTATTTAAATAATAATAATTATATTCTTATGTAATAAAAAAAACAATCAACCAAAACTAAATCAACCTTTTTCCTTGCCATCCTCCTCCCCATCTTCATCTCCATCGTCATCACCACTGCCCTCATCATTACCATCATCATCGTCATCATCACCAGCTTCATCATCTTCTTCTTCATCAGCATCTTGATCTGCTCGCCGCTTCCTTTCACCATCATCACCACTATCATCAGCAGCAGCAGCATCATCATCGTCGTCGTCATCATCGCTATTTCTCCCACCACCATCACCATCATCGTCGTTATCATTTCTTCTTCCGTTACCACCACCACCATCATCAAAGCCTCCATCGGCTCTGTTATCATCATCATCGGCATTTCCATCGTCATCATCACCGCCACCGGATTTCTTCTTAAAAATTTTAACGCTGACTCTTTTCGTGTTCAGCAGACTGTTGGATGAAAAATTGTTAAAACGGTGATGAAAAAAAAAATTATCAATCATCTTCCCCATCATCGTTATCAATGCCACCATCATTATCACCATCAGTAATATCACTACCATCATCACCATCATCATCATTAGAGCCATCAAAATCAATACAGTCATCATCATCATTTATATCATCACCATCATCATCAGACATCATCATCATCATCAAGACAGTCCTCCTCCTTCTCCTCCACCCTCACCTGGAAGCAACCAGTTCTCTCTCCTGCTTCTCGATGACCCTGGCCAGGTGACCCATGAACTTTGACTCCAAATAGTTGAGGATTTTGGCGGGGTTCAGGTTGAAATCGTCTTTATACAAGGAATGTGGTGCCACGTTGAATCGTATCTTGTACAGCCTGTGACCCCTTTGTTATTGATTATGAATAAACATATTTTTGATCATGAATAAGCATATTTATATAATATGTAAATGGACGTACACTACACACACACACACACACACAAACATACGCACACACACACAAACACACGCACATACACACGCACACACACACGCACACACACGTTTCAGCTGCTTGTGATTATTAACAACAGTGATTGCAAAAATGATGATGTTATTGGTCATGGGCGAAGTTCCGTAGCAATTGATTATTACTGATGAATCTGATAACGATGATGATTAACAGAAAAAATGATGGTGATGATAATGTTGTTGATGATAATGATGTTAGCGCATGGTGATGATGATAATGATGGTAATGTTACTACATAGATACAATGAACATAGGGTGATGTCACTACACAGATACAATGAACATATAAGCGTCAGCCAAACGAACTTTTTAAATTCACTGACTATTAGTGTCTTCTTTACAACAGCGGACGACAGGACCTTGATTGGATTTAAAAAGGAAACAACAAATTTTAGCTTACTCTGTAAACATTTCCATTATTCATCAACATATCTTCATCATCAACATCATCATCATCATCACCATCACACACACTCAAAATTATCATCACCCTCACAACCCACACCCTCATCTTACCTTTTCAAGAGGAACTCTTCTAAACTTTTTAATAAACTTGTTCACCCTCCTCTCCGCCTTATCTCCCAAACTAAGCAGAGGCACCATCATCATCGGAGTCTTGATGTCCTTACTGGCCACCATCAGTATCTCCCTCAATCTGGGAATTCCCAGGGTCACGTTCATGGCCCCGTGACCCGCAAAGTGGAAAGTGTTCAAGGTCATTTGGGTGGTTTGTTCACCCATGGACTGATTGATGGGAGAGTGAATGAGGGGGAGAAGATGGTAGATGGTTAGACAGATTTGTGAACAAATTGCAGAATTGAGTGATTGATAGGTAGGTTGATAAATGACTGATTGATTGATTGATTGATTGATTGATTGGCAAGTGGATTAAACGAATAGCGATAGATAGGTATGTTGATAGATGGTAATTGATTTGTTGATGGGTGATTTGCTCAAAGAATAAATGTAAAACCAAACGATAAAACAACAGCAGCCGCATAATGAAACAACCGTAGAAACAATCAAACAACCAATTCGACCAACTTAACACACGCGCGACAACCACTCACACACCATACGACAGCCACAGACCACACCAAACGACAACGACACTCACAGTAGCAGCCAGGATGCCAACAGCTTCTCCAGGTTGGATCAAACTTCTCTGGTACTTCAGGTACATCATCTTCTTCAGGTCATCAGTCGTTATCTTGTACGGATGACGCATCTTAAATGACGACGACGATGATGGGTTGTATTTTTTCATCAATTTTTTCAGCTGTTTCTCCGTCACTAGAACCTGTTCGAGAAATGATGATGGATGAGTGATGGTGGATGAGTGATGGTGGATGGGGTGATGGTGGATGGAGTAATGGTGGATGGAGTGATGGTGGATGGAGTGATGGTGGATGGAGTGATGGTGGATGGAGTGATGGTAGATGGAGCGATGGTGGATGGAGCGATGGTGGATGGAGACTGACTAACGAGTTAAGTAACGGAAGCGATAACGAAAACATCAATACATCACCAGCATCATCATAATTACTAGCATCATCATCATCAGCAGCAGCAGCAGAAGTAGCAGCATCTCCAAAACGGACAGCACTCACTTTGTTATCATCTCTCTTGATGTACTCCTCCAACACGTCATGGAAATGCTGACTGGTGCAGCCGAGGTATCTGCTGGCTGGTAGAATGCTCGAAACTGGGTCAGGGCAGGTCATTAACTTCTTCTGAAGTCTGGTGGTTGTGATGATGATGATGATGTCCGTGGTGGTGATGATGATGCCAATGGTGGTAGGGATATATGTATGTATGTGTGTGTGTGTGTGTATGTATGTATGTATGTATGTATGTATGTATGTATGCATGTATGTATGTATGTGTGTATGTATGTATGTACGTACGTATGTATGTATGTATCTATGTATGTATATATGTGTGTACCTTCTACTTTGTTTATCATTCATATTGTCGAACATATTCGATAGTTCCTCCTTGCATATTTCATCCAGCTGTCTTTCAATGAAGGCCTGGTTCGCTCCATCCATCTGCACCCTCCTCATCATCATCATCCTCTCTCTCACCTCATCCCAGTGTCTCTCTGAGAAGAGTTGAAAGGCTGTCTTCCTTGTAAAATTCTCGTGGGTTGATCTCCATTCCTCCATCTGAGTGGGTGGGTGGGTGAGTGAATGGATGTGTGGACGAAAAAGTGAATGAATGAGAAAGAATGCGTTGAAACTATAGCTGTGTGATTAACTGATTGAATGAATGAGTTGTGGATAGAGTGAATGATTTAATAAATGAGTTGTGAATAGAGTGAATGATTGAATGAATGAGTGCAGAAGAAAGAACGGATAAGTATATAGTCGTATTGATTACCTATCTACCAGGTAATAAACTAGCCCCTCCCTGGCCAAACAATCAAACTGACCAACCAACCAACCATCCATCAAATGTAGCAATCAAACGACTGACCAACCAATCAAACGACTGACCGACCAAGCAAACGACTGACCGACCAAGCAAACGACAGACCGACCAAAGAACCAACCAGTCAACTAACCAACCTTAAGATGTAGCAATCAAACGACTGACCAACCAAGCAAACGACTGACCGACCAAAGAACCAACCTTAAGATGATGTTGCAAAGCGTCAACAGTATTAATCTTACTGAAGATCTCAGCTTCCAGTTCCTTATTGACGATGGAGTATTGGTTCTCGATGAGTTGCGAGAAATGCTTCTTTTCAAGGAAAGAAGTCCTCATCACGTCCAAGCCATCCTCGCCATACTTAAACTGCAAACGTTGGTTAAAATGTAATGACCAATTCAGCGAAGATTAGTAGGCTGGTAACGGACATGCCTACATATAGCCAAACATCCAAAAATCCAAACAAACAAATAAACGTCTAAACAAACGAGTATACATACATAAATAAATACACATATACATACATACATACATACATACATACATACATACATACATATATACATACATACATACATACATAAATACACACATACATACATACATACATACATACATACATACATACACTCATCATGTTTTGGTTTTAACATACATACATACATACATACATACATACATACATACATACATACATACATACATACATACATACATACATACATAAATATCAACTAAATAAACATCTAAACAAACGAGTATACATAAATAAATACACACACACATACATACATACACTCATCATGTTTTGGTTTTAACATACATACATACATACATACATACATACATACATACATACATAAATACACACATACATAAATACACACATACATACATACATACATACAAACCAACAAACGAGCATATACACAAACAAGCAAACCAACAAACAATGATACAGACCTGTATAATGCTCCCATCACTATCTCTGACGGTTTCGTCATAGGCAGAGGTTAAGCCTTCCAAATGCTTTATCAGACATCTGGTGAACAGCAATTAATTAATTACGTAACCAATTAATTGAATGAATAATTAATTGACTTAATTGAATTAATAATTAATTACACCAGAGGATATTAATAAGAGAGGAATTTAAGAAAATTGATATAATTTTTATGGATTATTAGCAATATAATAGATCATTACTGTCATCATAATCGTCGTCGTCAACATCACCATCATCATCGTCGTCATCATCACCATCATCATTATCGTCATTATCAACATCATCATCATCAAAACCTCTGCAAATAACCACTCCTGCTCGTCTTAACGGCAGTATCAACGAGGCCCTGAATGTGTAATGGGAATAATAGATTGGATAAAAAAATATAAATTACACACACGCACACGCGCCACACACAGACGTGCACACATTAGATAGAGAGAGAGAGAGAGAGAGAGAGAGAGAGAGAGAGAGAGAGAGAGAGAGAGAGAGAGAGAGACACACACACACACAACACACACACATTAGATAGTTAGATAGAAACATACAACACACACATTAGAGAGAGAGAGAAAGAGAGAGAGAGAGAGAGAGAGAGAGAGAGAGAGAGAGAGAGAGAGAGAGACAGACAGAAACACACACAAACACAAACTTACATCTCTGCCAGCCATGCAATGGAAGAAGTACTCCTGGACATTGAGACCAGTCAAAAATCTGTTATCAATAAACCCACCTGCCCTGGGGTGCAGGTCGTAGGGCTTGAAGGAGGGCAGCGTGGCCCCTGATATCATCACGGGG